GGGGGCTGTCAGAAAGCTCTTCTGCCTCCACCAAACCCCTGCTGACAGTACATCTTGTCTTATTCAGCACAACATGGAAGTCTCGGTGTGCTCTTTACTAGCTGATAACAGCCCTTGGCTTTCTGGCAGTGTCCTCTGAGCTCTGCAGCCCTGGCTATAGCCCCGTGGTCCCTCACTTGATTCATGGGTCAGGGAGGGTGCAGAGGAACCGGTGCTCCAGCTCTGCATGGCACAGGAGGGCCCTCACCTGTGGTCACTATGCTGACTCCTGCATACGCCAGTGATGGTTGCCAGTAGCCCCTGGACACAGGGCTTGAGCAAAAAACCCAGCAGATATCCAGGAGGCCTGGAGCAGCTATAGCTGAGTTGCACCATCTGATCTGGAGCTTGGAACTCTGTGTATGGACTTAGACATGGTCTGGAGACTTGATTTCTGTGTCGTTCCAGCAAAACAGCTCCCACGTGTTGTACTCCAATGTCATTGAGTCAGAGCGGGAAGCGCGCAGGGGTGTGATTTCCCGGAGTTTTCAGCTGGAGGTGCATTTCTCCTGCATCTACGCCTACGAGCAGGTGGTGAAACTGCCCTTCGCTCTCACTGCTGTTGACAAGTGAGTGGTCCCTCTTCACCTTGCTGCTGACATGGTATCTGTGAGTTTATGGAAAAATAGATGCCTTCGATGAGGTGATCTGCAAAGGCCATAGGGAGCCACTAGGGAGCTCTGAGAGCAATGCCACATCAGGGTGCCTCCCTTTCTCTTACTAACATAGTTTTTCAACACAAGGTTTTGGCCTGGGACAGAGCCAAATTGGGGCACACACAATCTACCTTTCTCCTATCTCCACTGCTTGAAACCAACTAGCCAAAAAATAAGGGGTGGGAACTGGAAGATGACCCCACCAGGCCCCTGTGGAGGTGCAGGTTAGGACCCCCTGGGTTGCCTTTCTCGTAGCCCTCACTGGCCAGCAAGTCAGTGGGAGCCCCTGGAGCTCCTTGCCTCTGTCCACACATGGTGTGGATGTACCAGCCGAGAGGCAGCTCAGAGCCTGGCTCTCAGGAGGCTTCACCCAGGAGCAGAGGCACGTCCAGATTCAGTGCACCTGTGCCAGTGGCCTGACTTGTGCTATGTCCTTCCTGCCTTCTCGTTCTGCTCGTGAGCTCTCCTCCTCTCCTCACAGGCTGGTGCAGTTCGTGGTTAAAGAAGGACACTTCAACGTCAGCATGAGACTGTACAAGACTCCCTCTTACCTCCAGCCCTATCACCTGCTGACCACAGCTGTCCCCATCACAGACACGCTC